TCTTTGTTCGCGAACTAACTTTCTTATTCCAAACCATCTGGAATACTGAATCCATTCCATCCGAATGGAGTTTAGCGGACGTCGTACCTGTTTTTAAGAAGGGCTCCCGCCACGATTGCTCCAATCACCGAGGGATCAGTATCATCTCTGTTGCATCCAAGTTGTTAACGTCGTTGATCCTTCGCAGGCTCAGTTGGACGAGAGAGCGTCAAATTCGCGAAGAACAAGCTGGATTCCGTCCTATCCGGAGCTGCGTTGATCACATTTACGCTACGCCAGATCCTCGAGCAACGTCAAATGTTCAGTAGACCGACCATCATTGTGTTTTGGACATACGTGCTGCGTTTGACTCAGTTGACAGAGCAGCTCTTTGGACTTGTCTGTTAGGGAGCGGTGTACCTGAGAAGTATATAAAAACCTTCTAAAAGCCGTCTACTCAAACACATCAGGCCGCGTCAAGGTCTATGATCGCAACTCCCCGTCATTTACCATCACAAGCGAAGTTCGACAAGGGTGCCCAGCTTTACCCTTCCTCTTTAATTTCGCAATAGACAAAATCCTAAGCAGCTCTTCCGGTGTGGAGCTCCTCCAAGGTGATCGACTTCGTGATTTGGAATATGCTGACGACATCGTTTTACTGTACGACTCCTCTCAGGACGCTCAAACGTCCTGTGTAAGTTAGCATTGTCCGTCACGCAGTTTGGTATGAAATTTTCTCCATCGAAATGTAAGGTGTTACTACAAGGCTGGCAACAGGCTACACTTGTCCTCACGCTTATGAATGACCATTTGGAAATCGTCGATCACTTTACTTATCTCGGGAGTTGCTTCAGCTCAAAAGGACTGACTGAAGAAATATCAGCGCGTATCCGCAAGGCTCGAGTGGCCTTCGCTAACCTAGGTCACTTGTGGCGCCGACGCGCTCTCAGTCTCTCCTTGAAAGGCCGCGTTTACAATGCAACAGTACACTCTGTCCTACTCTACGGCTGTGAGACTTGGCCTCTCCACGCAGAAGACGTACGGAGATTAAGTGTCTTTGACCACCGTTGCCTTCGTTGCATCGCCAGAATACAGCGAATCACCAACGACGAGGTTCGCCGAAGAATCTTCACCGCAGACAATCTCGGTCGTTTTCTGAGTGCCGCCATCTCACTCCAAAGACACCGATGGCTATGACATATGTTGCGGATGCCGGCTCAATGATTGCCCCATCGTGTTATGTTTGCGCAAGCAGACACAAACTGGAAGCGGCGACACGGTGGGCAGCGAATAACCTGGGCTCGAGCAATGAAGGCGCTAACCTCAAAAATGGCAGTGGTAGGGCGCTCTAGACTTCCAGGTTGGAGGTCCAAGAACAGAAAACATCTATGGCTTGATACATTTGCGCAGTCAATAGATATTGCCATTTATATTTAGACTACTCAAATATTCATAGGAATCAAAAAGTAAATGATAAAATTCAAATTTTCTTCCAACCCACCATGGTTGACAATGTTTTGCTATGACCTTGAATGTCTTTATTCCTTCAGGGTGATTGATATTGACGTGAGCGTATGACCACTGTCATCAAGGTGTTGTTTACTCCAGTCTGTCGATTATCAGATTCACCACGTTTGCCAGTTTCCAAATCAGGATGGCTATCACGCCCGTTTCTAAACGAAGTTGGTATATATATATTGCATAAGGTTGCAATACCTTTTTCGTGGTGAAAATTCTGTTTTCCATATGTACTTTCGTAAAAATAAGAAAAATAATCTGATGAAGTTTCTTATTTCGGCTTCTCATTTTGCTGTCGTCCAGATTCCCCAAATATCGCGATGAGCGGAAATGTGGTGGCGGAGATAATCCAGGACTCTAGGGGGTGCTTGGGCTATCTGGTTTTTGTTCAGTCGATCAACCAAACAGCACTGAGTTTAGATATTGGACACTTCGTGGTCTGGATTATGTATCAACACTTGTTGATTGATAAAAAAAGTTCTGGTCACACATATGTGAAGGACACTCGTCGAACTGAGTCGTATATTTCGCATTCTTTCAAGCTCCCTTGACTTGCTCGATACACATACGCATACTGAAGTAATTAGATGTGTGTTCCCATGTATCGTTCATCTTTACCACACCTGCTATCACTAGTAGCCCTCGCTATTGTCGGAATGCAGTTGTACGAAACTAAATAGGTTCCTGAACATTCTATCGATAGGACACCAATAGTTACAACGACTAAGCTTCATCCTCATCATTATAAATCACACGTATGACCTCGCAAGCATCCACACCGTCCTGGATGTGGTAGTGAGTACCGCCCCGACTGGGCACTTTTAACTTTCCATCCCGTCCAAAGGAAGTTTGAACTGAACACCGCTCCGCTGCATTGCGGGTCAGGCTTTAGTTAGCCAAAGTATCCGATTGTAAACTATCCAAAAAATGCACGTGCTCTGACCTGAACAGCCTGCTAGCATTCCTCCCACAAGTAAATTGTGAAGCTATTTCTTTGTTCTAATGATTATTGTACAGTGATTTGTTTCACGTACAGTCCATGCTCGGACGCATGTAAGATGTTATATGATTATAGGCATATCTTTTGAGAAAGATGTTTTATGAATTATGCAGTTAATAAGCCCCTGAAAAGAAGTTCTGTATTAATAGCACTTTGTCGATTTTCAGTCAATCAAGAGTTCATTGTCCAATAATTGTTATTGTCTATTCATTTTTAATGACTCAGGGGAGGCGGAAATTCTCCAGTTATTTCAAGCCAAGGAATCTCGTGGCTCGGGTAAACCATTACGTATCCCCGTGGCCGGATGCCGATGTACCAAAGGACACCTATTGGCCGGTCAACCGAATAATAAATCTACGCTCTATGAAAGTACGCTTCTGATCTTGTTGTACAGTTCCTGCCTCATTTCCACATCGTCTCACCTTTTACGAGTTATGTGGAAGATCTGTTCTTCGTATATTTAATGGGGTTTCCCCTTATCTCTTCTTGAACCTGACCTAAAAATCTGCAGCTCCAATACGCTGTTGGTAAAAAACACAGGATCGGACCACTGACTACAACCCTCCATCCTGCACTGCTATTTTACATTTGTCTATTTAATAGAAGAAAGATAATTTCTATTTGGTCGGTTTGTAGGAAAGACCTGCTGCGGCCGAATGACATCAGTGTGGAAGAAAAACAGACAGGACATTTACAAACCGTATTTAGTAACTGACTACTTTAATGCTAATTAGTAGTCATTTCGGATAAAGTTTACCGTCGTTTTTAGCAACGAATAAATTCCTCACCAGGCACACCAGGATGATCACCACTTCCCCTCCCTATCCACTTTACATTTTCCTAATATATCTTCGTACGTCTTATGTTTGGGAGTAACCAACGAATTTTACTTCGTTTTAATACGCTCTATGATTGGTCGTCTCATGGCTCGTTAATGCAATTGAATCTGGTCTGTTTTACCTCAGGTATAGCTAGTGAGGCAATCGCTACGCACTACAGAGTTATTCGTCCGAAAAGGCAAACCAATCGCTCAACTGGTACAGAATCACCAACGGAACACCATCTGAAAGACACGGCAGAACCGGGAGAGAGTACAGATATACGAAGCGATGGAACTGTGTTAGTTAGCCGAGCCACCTGTCGTTCGTTACGCCATGAACGAACTGTAGTCGATTCGATTCGCAAAGGTGTCGAATGTGGATTAACTTTAGTCACAAACGAGCCCGGAGTCAGTGGGAGCACAAAACGTTCGAAATCTAACGCAGCATCGGCGACTGGAGACGGTGAGGAAACGTTTGTTTCCATTTGGCAACCGGGTGATATCATTCAGTGTTATGTGCTTGTCCCGGAGCCCCGGAAAATCGAGTGGCAATTTGAAACGAAGAACGTCGCTGTTGATGAAGCCACAGCTTGAATATCGATCTTTTTAGCAAGCCTTCTTATCGGTCTTTCATTCTTCTCCCATACTGGTCTGTTTTATACGTCGTAGTGTACATAAGTCTGAAGGATTGGAAATAAATATTTTTTAACTATATGAATTAATGTTTTGCTTTGAAGTCCTGAGCCTCCAAAAGCCTCAGTATGGTCGGGGGTAGATGTCTACCGTTGCGGCTGGCCACCCATCTTTTGCATCTCGCGAAATGCTCGTATACGACCAAGCGTCTCAAATAGCCTCTGCTGAGAAAGCCCTACTCACTGCCTTCCCGCGGGGGCAGTGTTTTTCCACCAAAGTGAGAGGACGAAAGGCCTATATCCGGATTGGTGGACCACTGGCAGTTCACATAGGGGCATCATGGTGTATTGGGCCCCAATGGATTGCAGTTTTCGCACACCGCCCCGCTGCCTTGCGGTCAGGCTTTGGCTAGCCAAAGGCTCCGGTTGTGGATTCCTCAAGAGAATTCACCTGCCTTGACCTGGGCAACCTGGCAGTAATCCGTCCGCATGCAAATCATGGAACCTTTTTCCTTCTCATAAAGATTATTCTACCATGATTTGTTTGATACACAGTCTGTATTCATACGTGTGTGAAAAATAAATAAAATAATTTGAAGTTCTGAAAGAATTCCTAAAAGTGGCACATCCCACGATTCCTTGACTGAAAGCATCAGTACGACTGATTACCGGATGAATTTAGTCTCGTACAGAGGTGAACTAAGGAACTGAGATGCACAGTACAGCTGTTTCAATCCTGTTGGGTTCGATCCATCGTGTGGACTTGGCGAACTCAGGACTTCATCCGTTTCATGCACGACGCTGAACTCTGCTTAAGCACGTGGACAATAGGTATTAGACCACCACCGAGTGCTTTGAGTATCAGTTTTCGGTTACGCGATGATCTCGTCAAATTGATTCATCATCACCTGTTGGATGTATAAATGAACTTTTTAAGGAAAAATTAGTTTTCCCGCGAAAATTCTCACGACAGCATTCCGAAACACGTTTGGACCAATCGCCACCGTAGGAAAGCTTTGGTGTTTTCGCGATTTTACTTTCGGGCAACGGAAGTAACACCGCAATCTGATTGATTCATTCTTTGACCACAGTGTTCTCGTATTTTCCATTCAGGGGGAAATCTAGATTGTGCACGATCCTCCATTAGTTGTTGCACTTTTNNNNTTTCTAGCGCCTCCGAGAAATACACTGTTTCCAAATGTCATCTGACAGGAATCGTTGGGAAACGTCTCGTGGGACAAAAGTTAATGATAGACTGGCGGACAGAACAAAATTATTGCGAACCGAACGCCAAGAACTGCGAGGAAATTAATGCCAAGTTTCATTTTCTAAGCTGAAACAACCACTATTGATCGCGCCGTTGAAGTGATCATCATCCTCCTATCAGGATTTGAGTAATCAACCAAGAAATTGTGCATTTGCTGGTCTTTCACAATGGTTACGAAACCCCCAAATTTATGGCCTTTTCGCGTCACAGTTTTGGCTGGGGTCGGGTGTACCCTAATTGTTCTGTTGAAATCAAGATGGGAATAGAAAAGTTATTCGGTGGATGACTGTTCTCCGCTTTCCCTGTGGAATTTAAGATTACCGAGGCAGATACTTTCGTCGGAAACAGCTCACCAATGGTACACATACTGACACACTCTTGGGAGCGCCGCACAGCTCTTTTGCGTGTTAACTTGCTACGAATGAGTATACCTGGGTGCTGAAGGCAGGCTATTCTCTGATGCACTCAACCTGCGAGACAATTCCATGAGGGATGCTGTCAGTGTATTGGACAGACAGGGATAATAGTGCAAATGCATTAATAGTCCGGTTTATATCCGAAATTAACTGTGTTCCGAGTGTGATGAATCTAACTGCATCGAGGTGTATTGCATCTGTTGAACCTTCATTGATTGCCTTCGACCAATACGCATTTCGTGCAGTTGGTTCTCCACAGAAGTAAACATCACACGACCTCCCAGTCACAAACTCAAAAGGCCCCAGTTGAATTAAGGGTTACCAAACAAATCCCAATAAATGAAAAATGCCCATTGCCGCATTGAAAACAAAGTCCGTTACGCGAAATAAGTTTTTTTTTCGATAAATTCATCGACGGGCTATTACAATTATATAGGGTTATCTAGTTTTGATCGCATCTAACTAAGTACAGAACGTATGCTAAGATTTTTTACCTAATGCTCATCTCAATTAGTTCATTAGTGTGTCCCCTGGGAGTGAGGTGGGTTTCTTCGGATGCGAATGTGACGCATCCGTCGGTGGGAAACTATAAACCGAAGACACTCCACAAAATGTGCACGTATCCAGATTCACACAATGTCGCGCGGCATTTGGTCAGAGGGAAAAGGTTTATCAGATACAAAAGGAGAGGATTGAGCCCAAACTGGCTTCATTCTTGAAAACCGAAAATGTTTCAAACCAAGAGTGAATACAAAACGGATGTATGTGTCGCTTTTCAAATGTCTGCCGCCAAAACCTTGCCTGTTTCAATACAAAATTGACTATGCGAATAGAGAACACTTCGGGACTGCACTTAAGAAGTCGGGAAAAATGTAACATTTTGCTGCTCCGATCCGGAAAACGGTGTTTAAACTACGCAAGGTTATGTCATCTTATGATTTGTTGTTTTTCCTCGTGAAAAGCCTATCCCTTACTCATTTGTGGAACGGGAGATAATGCTGTGGTCTAAGACTGACGTTTGGCATGCATGCCTGTGGCCGAATTGATTGATTGAGTCGCTGACTGTTTGAATGCTGGGTTGACGGGATACGCGAGTCGTGCAACGCTTCAGCCGTTTGTTGGCCTGCCTGCCTGCCTACGTGTCGCCTGCTCCTGCTTGATCACCGGTCTACGGACTGGCTACACATGTGCCTACTACAATGAAGGTAGTGTCTGGTTCTTTGTGTGCTTATTTACTTACGTAAAAGGGACATAACGTGTAATGCTATTGGTCGCACACGTTACAATTAGGATACTAAGGTTGGTCTTCACGTAAACACTATGACATGGATCCTACATGGCCTTTTGGCTACCCGTTTGGGTCAAACAATCAAAAATCACCAATATTCTCGAATGGTATGTATATATACATTCGATGACACTGATAACTGGCCCACATCAGCAACTTTGAACGGCAGTTGAATAGCAATTTTGTATTTAGGCATGGCCAATACCGAAATGCTCCAGCTCAGTTTTTTCGTCGTATCAAATTATGATCTTTACTGGATAACTAATGAGCTCCTGTGAACCGTATTAACTCGTTTTCTGAATCGTCGGAAGTGATCTATCAGATTACCTGTTTGTAGTGGATTGGTGCACAAATCCCAAAGTTCATGTATCGACCGGACCTCGGGGATTTCGGGGTGCACAGATTCCGAAACAGTGCTGTCTGATCTTTGAACAAAATGAGTCCTTTGTCTTGCTCTGTTTCCATAGCGTGTTTAAACAGTCCCTCAGAACACAAATAAGCAAACAAGCTCTTTTTCAGACACCGCCACGATTGAACGGGTTAGTGCAACGGGGACTATAATTCCACGGTTGTATGAGCTGCCCAAATTAAATTGGAATGCAGTTCCCTTTCCTCCTCTGGCCAGCTGCAACCCTCCTTATTTTGTGGTGGCCAAACATTTAAAGGTGACACCTTGGGAGATATTGTGCATAGAAGACTAATGAATGCCATCAGCAAAACGTTCTAGGCAGCCAAGCTTCAGACCCGATTCAGCTCTAGACCGTTGGTGTATCTACAGTTGAAGGATTGAACGCCCGATTGTACTGCCTCTCACTTGCTCATGTGGAGCAAAGATAGACTCTCGGTGTTTGAACACCGCTGTCTACGCAGCATTGTGCGAGTCTGGTGGGGTAGCCGGATGAGCAATTCTGAGGTTAGGTGCACAGTTTTAGGCAACCGCGGTCGCCCACTGGAGCAAGATTGCGTTAATTGAGGCATGTGTTACGCATCTCATTAAATAGGTTGCCACGGCGAGCGGTGCTCGTCCAGGCAGATAGTGGGTGGAATAAAGCCAAGGGTGGTCAAGCTAAGAACTGGTATGAAAGTATGATAACCCGAACCAGGAGTCTGGATCATATAAGTCCCATTAGGCTCCTACTGTTCATCCAAATGGGCAGCCAAAAGATAGTAACCAAAAACCGGCGCACGAAAGTGCATGGTTAATGGCTGTACAAACTGAACTGAACTGTGGAACAAAGTATGTTCCCATGACCGGATTGCCAACAAATGACCCGTCATGAANCGTCATGAAACATCCGAGCAAACGATAATTGGGGACGAATTATTATACAAATTGTTGACTACTTTAATTACTTTACCTTCTCCCTCCGAAATCCGTATCTGTAACTAGTCATATATTTTGTGTTGTAATGTAATGATTTAAATGCACTGAAAACTATACGTCCCTGTGAAGTAAATTCAGTTCAGACGAAAACTTTTCAGTTTTGATGACGGTTTCAACGCTTATTAACGCGTATTTCACATAGCTTCCGTACAGCACCATACCTTCCAATGACCTCGGCTCTTTTTTCGAGACCAGACATGCATATATCAGCTAAAATAGGTCCCCAATGGCTAAACAACTACTCCCTCGGACAGGCTTAAACCCCCGATCTCGAAAACTGATTTGTACACCCGCTGAGCATAAAATCCGTGGGTGTTTCAGGAATGAAAGTAGAGCACCCAAGTAGACTTTCTCTGCGGCACATAGACAAACCAGCCACAAGGCGCAGTTCCTCAACTGATCAGCGTCTGCTTCAGACTGGAGCATCGTATTAGGTTACCTGCACAACACCACAGAGACGAATGCTAACACTTGAAGAGGTCATAACAATGAAGCGCCGAAATACTCTTTTGTGACAACAGTATAGGGTCTTTACATCGGTTTGGCATTGCTGTGGTAACGACATGCGCGAAAGAGTGACCTGATATTATTTGATTTTGATCATACAGAATAAGCACCAGTTGGGACGCAGTAAACTGATACCGGAATCAAATCGTGTCCACTTGTATTGTTGTGTTCGTTAGTCAAATCTATACTTGCTTTGATTTCGGGCGAAGGGAATCCTGCTGCCGGATAATGGTGCTCCTGATTTCACATCCATAGTCCCTCTTTTTCGGAATTTGTTTACTATCGGGAATACTTCGGAAAAAGAAACTGGTACATATATGCAGAGCTAATCTATCTGATATAAATACACAGATTTACACATCACAAAGAGCTAGGATAGCCGATTCACTCACTATACAATAGATAGAGGTTGTTTTTCAGGGCGCACAAGCTTCCCGTTAGTTCCGCCCTGTTTTAATAAATCTACATTATGTAAGGCACCGGTAGGATTGTCTTTATACAATAGTAGATAGCCCTGAACTTGTGCAGAACTGACTGTGACCCCTTCGAGTTGCGCGGCGAACTGTGAAGCCAAAGGATGTATATCATCAGGCACCGGGTGTGATTTGTCCGTGGGACTGGAAAGGTCGGTCGCTCCGAGGCCACAGAAATTATCACCGGGCCCAACTTTCGATATCGTGGGAGCCGTTGGCGAGGACGGATAGAAACGGGAGAACATTCGCTCCAGCTGAAATCTGTTACAATGATCGATGTGAACGCGCATGTCTACACGACCGGGTCGAATAAGTGCTGCATCTAGGCTGAAAACAACAGAGGTGTGGGGGGTGGGAGCGGAATGAGTGCATACTAAACCGA